TCTTTGTGCGGCTGGCTTTTGTGGGTCGTGCTGAATCGGCATATCTTTTGACTCACTCCTCTTCCATTGTTGGTTTCTTCTTCCTGCAGCCACACGGCGCCTTGACAACGGGTTTCTTCTTGGGCGAGCTTAATGGAGGAGGCCGATTGCTGCTTGGACTCGTTTGGAATCGAGGAGCTGCTGGATTTCTCGCAGGACGGCCTCGCGGGTCCGATATGCGATCTCGAGGACAGCAGCAAGAACAGCGATTCTAGCGGGCTGTCTTCGCTCATCGACAGCCGGAGTTTTTGCGCTCCGGTACGTTTCTTGTGTTTCTTGCTGCCTCTGTTTTTTCTTGGGTGTGGAGTTTCTCATGCGGATTGTGCTTGTGTGTTTCCAGGAGCTGGGATGGTTCGATTTCGGGAATGCAAAGGTGTTGCTGGGCTCGTCGGCCCGGGAGGAGGAAAAGAACCGGATACGAGCGCAGCAGCAGCAGCAGCAGGAGCAGGAAGAGCAGCTATACATGATGAGCCCGGTGTCTGTGCTGGAGAGCTGCGCGACATCGGAGAGGTCAGCCATGGTTTCAATCTCCTCGGTCCACGCCGGCGGCGATGTGAAGAACGTGTTTTCGAGCACGGGGAGGAGCAAGAGGGGGCGGACCATAACGCCCACAAAGACCAGCTACACAGCGAGCACGGACGATGAAGAGCAGGAGGACGTAGAGGACGACGATGACGACGACGACGACGACGCAGATGTGGAGCTTGAGGAGGAGGAATATGAGGTGGACGAAGAGGAGGAAGATGAGGAAGACGAAGAGGAGGAAGAGGAGGAGGACGAGCACTCAGAGACTCACGAGTCGGACTGTGCTCTGTCGACGGAGAGCGAGGTGGTGACGGAGGATCAGGACGACGATGGGCTGATCAGGCTCCCGGCCGCCAAGAGGCAATGCAAAGATGCCCAGCAGCGACAAAACCAGGGGGTGGCTCAACGTCATCAAAGCTATCACCAGCAGCAGCAGCAGCAGCAGCAGTCCGGCGATGGCCTGCCAGAGATGCCATCGAGGAAGTGCAGCCACTGCCAGACGCAGAAAACTCCACAGTGGCGAGCCGGTCCGTTGGGACCCAAGACGCTGTGCAACGCGTGCGGTGTCCGGTTTAAGTCGGGCCGGCTGCTGCCCGAGTACCGGCCCGCGGGGAGCCCGAGCTTCGTGTCGGACAAGCACTCCAACTCGCACAGGAAGGTGCTAGAGATGCGGCGGCAGCGGGAGATGGTGGTGATGAAGCAGCTCAAGGAGGAGGCCGAGGGGGAGATTGCCGAGGAGGAGGTGCTTATCGCCTGAATCCCCATCGACCGATCGATCATCCATCATCCATCGAGCGAGTCGAGGTTAGGCCTATTTAACTTCTTCTTTCCTTCCTTCGCTCCTTCCTTTCGTTTGATCCTTTCTTCTCCGGGAGGACTGAGAGATCAGGCAGAGAATTCGTATTCTTTACGCGAAGTTGCTAGAGTGGCGGTTCTCTACTTAATTCTTTTCTTCTTCGTCTTCGTTTCTTCTTCGTTTCCATTCTACTGGTTTCGCTGCTTGTTCTTTGCTACATTTTCCAGAGAACGAGTCTTTAGCTAGAGTGATTAACAACGTCTTAGTTGTTTGGAGGGGGGGGGGATCAAATTCTTTCTTTGTTCTTCATTGGGGGGTCGGTTTTAAGTTTTGCTTTTAGGTAGTACTACTTTGCTTTGCAATTTTTTCTGCTACTTTTTTGAGAGAGGGAGAAGAGTCTTGGTGGATCCATGCCTTTGATTCCAGCAGTTTGACGAAGCAAGAGGCTTGTATTTTGTGCCCATGTACTTAAGAATCACTTGGAGGGCCAAATCCACTTTAAAGAAGGAATTTACCCGAGAGATTGTTTGGTCTTCCACGAGAAGATCCGTGCGCGTAGCAGAGGAGGCCATGGGGTTTTCGTGAGCGGTACGGACGGGGATTCGAATTCGAATTTGAATTCAAATTCAAACCGTCGGGGCGGGAAAGGCGTTGTCCATTCCGGGGGCCGCATCGTTTTGGGAGAGAGAGAGATGTGCAGCATATATATTCGTTGGGATGGGATTGGATTGATCCGTCAAAACAACAAGTGTGCTTTGATGTGTGAATGTGTGGTTTGTGGGTCCACTCCACTGCTGAAGAAAGAGTTTGTGGTTGATGCCTCTTCGACCTCTTTGCTTTTGTTTTGGTTTACTTGTTCGTCCGTACGCTGGTGGAAGAAAAATCAAGGAAATATCGCACTTGCCCATGATCCACTCCACATCCACTATATGTGTTTAGTGATTTGATTACCGAACTCTAATTTACTAACCAGCCAGCATCGTTGTCGCTCAGAGAGAACAGATCAAAAGTCAAAATTGCCAGCTTATCTTTACTATTAACATGAAACCAAACATCCACAAACAATGTACATCATGTCCTCCACAAACAAGTTTTGAAAGAGAAAACAAGCTCTCTTGGGTGATTATGCGCTGAGTAACTACCTACTGAGACACACAAAACTAAACAACAGAATCACATGAATCCACGCGACCCTGTACCAGCCAGCAACAGCATCGGTTTCAACATAACATATTTTAGAAGAGAGGGGAGGAGGAGGGAAGGGATACGATTTCTTTACTCCTCTCCGGCCACTCGAGCAAGCTCCAGTACTGGATTGTTGCAGGAGCAAACAGAACAGCAGCGCATATTTGTGCTTGTAAAAACCTTTTGGAGTTTGCCGACGCGATTCGAGCTGAATGCCCCGTCCTGGAAATCCGGCCAAGGATGCAGCGGTAACAGCAGCAGCCGCCGCCCGATCGACGTCACGACCAGTTCCTTCACCTGGCATCCAAGCTTAAGTTACAAAAAAAAAAACAAAGCAAAAGAACTGGAAAACTCCTTTTCTCACTCACCTGGCGAGCACCAGCGCCAAAGTGTATCTTGTGTGTTGTGTCTGCTCGTCTTCACTTGTTTTAGAGCTCTAACGTGCAGCAGTGGCTGCAAAGCTCCTTCCCAGCCATGGACGGCGTCTCCGTGCTGCGCCACTTCCCTTCCCTCGTATCGAAAACGCTCACGACTTCCAAGGTGACTCCTCGGTCGCTCATGGTGTAGCTTTCGCCGGATCCTTCGTCATCATGACCAGCTTTCCTGTAGCCACCAATGAAGTAGAGTGATGACTTCCCCACCTGTGCCATGGTGAGGTAGCACTGCTGCCACTTGCGTGATGATTCCCAGAACCTGCTGTTCTCGGCCCTCGACACGGGCTGGAGCCGCTGCGATCCATCCACAATCTTCCATATGTTGAGCCCACGATCGTACTGCTCCACACGTCCCTTCCAGGCGCTCAGCACGTCCCCGGAGCTGTAGAGCACCCCTTCCACCGCGACGATCTGGTTGGGAGGCACGTCAACTTGCCACATCGCTCGAGCCAGCCCCCAGCTTCCAATCGCCGGGTCGAACACGTCCACCGAGCTCCGGTCCACAGGCGAGCAGCAGTATCTCATCGTCTCCGCGTCGTCGTTCTCCAGAGAATCATCTTCCTCGTTGATGCCGGACGAGCTTCCCGCGAGCGCGAAGCCGCCAATGACGTAGACTTTGCTCTCCAGGGTGACTCCCACGCACTTGTAGCGGGCGATGTTCATGGCCGGGAGAGGAATCCATGCGTTCTGCGCTGGGACGTAGGCCTCGGCGAGATCGATCCCTCTCTCGTGCCTGAGGCCCGTGCGCCCGCCGGCGACGTAGATGACCCCGTTGCACACCGTGCATGCAAAGTCGACACGAGGAACCGACATGCTCGCGCACTGGCTCCACTTTCCTGTGATGGTGTTCAAGGCCCGGACCTTCCGCGACGTGTAGAGGTCTCCACCATCTTTGCTGCTGATCTTGCCGCCGATGATGAAGAGCCGCTCCTTGATGTGCACCATCGCGAAGCATTTGAGAACTTCGCCAGGGTTTGTGCTTGGAATGGTGCCGATGTCGTGCCACACGTTCTCCACCGGATCGTAGGCCTCCAGCCAGCTGCTGCAGGTGGAGCTCGAGCTGAAAGGCACGTAGATCCATGGCTCCTGGAGGCCGAGGTCCTTGCGGAGCTTGAACAGCTGCCTGCCGAGAAGCGTGCCTTGCCACATCCGTGAGACTCGCCGCAGCGCTGGATAGTACGCCCGAGGCACTCGAGCCAAGCACTGCAACGCGAGCGAGTCCCTGAGGCCGGGGATGAGAGTGTCGGGATTGCTGGAGTAGTCCATCTTCATCATCTTCTTCTCTTCCACCTGTGCAAGAACGCGAAATGGAAAGAGTGAGTGAGTGAATAGCTTGGCAGAGGAACAGAAACCACGAGATACATATAAAAGACCGTGGAGAGATCGATCACCTCTCGTTGCGAACGATAACAATGTTTGCGCATCGTTCTAGCGAGGTTTTTCGCCTCGGGCACGCCGATGATTGCCTTGGAGCTCCTTGGAGCTTTGCGGGACGAAGCATCGTTTGGACTGTTCCAAGACCGGCCGCATTGGCCTCGTTCTCCTTGGAAGAACTCAGCCACTGCATATCTATTGTCTCTGGGCAATCACCTGAATAGACATAGAGAAAGTAAACTCCAGCGTTTTTACCTCGACTGGTTGGTTTTTCACCCGGATTCCAAAGACGCAACCGCTGGTTATCGTCGAGGAAGACGAAATCGTGCGGAGGCAAATCGAAGTTTACAACGTACCGTGAGAGATCTTGTGAGCAAACTTCCAAACGCCATTTCCTTGAGATTAATCGTCAAGCTTTGTTCTGGCATGAGCTTCAAGTTTGTCAATCAATCATATGAAACAAAATAATAATAATGCAAGAGCAGTAAACCAATTCGAGGATCACAAGGACACAACAACCAAAGACGCAAGTTATAACGTCCAAAGGAGATCGTGAAACCGTGCCTTGGGATGCATTGTTACTAGCTTATGATCGACGCTATGCCATGGATCCAATCGACTGCTAAGGAAATAGTCTCAAGCAAGCATTACCAAAACTAGACCGCTTGGAGCGGCAGTGGCTTTCTCTGCTTTAAAATCCGCTGCTCTTCCCAAGCTAGATCGCAAGAAAATCTTACCCTAGAGAACAACACATTGGAGTAACTCTTTCTTTGTTCTTGCGATGGCCATGGAGGAAAACTCTCTAGAGCTCTGCTCACTTGGAAGTTTGCTCTTGGGCTGCAGTGCCATTGCAGCGTTGCCCAGGAGATGGATGGAGATGGATGGTCTTACACTGCTTGCTTGGCGAGGATCTTCTCCTTTGGCCGCGCCTCCACGAGCATTTGGACCACTTCCTTCATGCCGGGCCTCTGGACGGGCAGCGCGCTGGTGCAAAGCAGCCCAACTCTGAGCATCAGCATCATGTCCTCGTGGAAGTACGATGGGATCCTCGAGTCGAAGATCTCCGCCAGCGAGTTGCGAGCTTGGATCTTGTCACAGACCCACCTCACGATGTCCACTCCATCGCCAAACTCCGCCTCGATCGGCCTCTTGCCCGTGACGAGCTCCAGCAGCACCACTCCAAAGCTGTAGATATCGCTCTTCTCGGTCACCTTGAGAGTGTAAGCATACTCTGCACCATGAACAAAAACGAGCTTAGAACACCTACCGAGAGCTCGAGAAACTTACCAGGAGCAATGTAGCCATAAGTTCCAGCGATGCTCGTCATGGAGACACCGTTCCCGTGCTGCTGGATGATCCTCGCCAGTCCAAAGTCTGCTACGTGAGGCTCAAGCTCCGCGTCGAGTAGGATGTTGTTGGATTTCACGTCGCAGTGGAGAACTTGCGGCTTGTAGTCGTGGTGGAGGTAAGCCAGCCCCTCGGCAGCTCCCAGCGCGATCCTGTGCCTCGCCGGCCAGTCGAGACCCCGCCCGGCTTTCTTGCTGTGGAGCATCTCGCCGAGGCTGCCGTTCTCCATGTAGTCGTAGACGAGGAACTTATCGTCGTCGCAGGTGTAGCAAAAGAGGAGCTTGACGATGTTCTTGTGCCGGAGCTTGCCCAGCGTCTCCACCTCCGCCTGGAAGCTCCGTTCGTACTTCTGGGACGCGGAGTCGTCACCTTTCTTGGCCGCGCTCCACAGCTTTTTCACTGCCACCGCCTGTCCGTTGCTCAGCTTGCCCAAGTAAACTTTGCCAGCTCCACCGCTTCCCAGGACGTTGTCTTCGTCCAGGCTCTCGATCACTCCCACGTGGTTGAACGGGAGCTTGTGGAACGAGGTCATGCTCCAGCTTCTACTGCTATCACCCGACTTCATCTGCCTGTACTTCCGGACAAACAGCCAAGAGCCGACGATGAAGAGGAGAGCTGCTGCTGCAAACGTTCCACCGATCACGTATCCCAGCAGACCCACACGTCCATGTCTTGAACCCGAGCTCTCTCCTCCGTTTCTTCCACACGAGCTCAGGGACAGCAAGCTGCTACCGCTGCTGGCACACAGCTCGGGGTTGCCAATGAAGCTCGAGTCGAACGCACCGTTTGCCAGGCCATCGGGAACTCGTCCAGAGAGTCTGTTGTACGAGACGTTGAAGCTGGAGAACTTGATCTCACCGATGGACAGTGGTATGTCTCCAGTAAGCATGTTTCTCGAGAGGTCGAGCAAGGTGAGCCCGCTGATATCACCCAGCGACTCTGGAATGCTTCCTGTGAGTTGGTTACCAGCCAAGTTAAGTTGCGCAAGGTCCTTGCACATTCCCAGCGCCTTGGGAATCTGGCCTTCCAGCTTATTGTCGTGGACGAACAGGACGTTAAGTCTGGAAAGCTGGCCAAGCTGGGAAGGAAGCTCTCCCTCGAACATGTTGCCGTAGAGCTGCAGTCTTGTGAGGTCAGGAATGTCGCCGAGCTCTGGTGGCAGAGGACCCGATAGCTTGTTTCCATAGAGGTTGAGTGTGGTGAGATTGGAAGCCTTGGAGATTTCCGAGGAGATGGAACCGGAGAGCTCGTTCTCGGACAAGTCCACGATGTAGGCGTGCTCCGTGTTCCATATACCGGGTGGTATGCTACCGTTGAGCTTGTTGTTGTTCATCAGGATACGCTCTACACTCGGGCAGGAGCCATAGGAGTCCGGTATCCCGCCTGTGATGCCGTTGTTGAAGAGAATAAGTTCGACCAAGCGTTTGGACTTGCACAACTCGGGTGGAATCGGACCTTCGAGCATGTTGTTGGAGACGTCGAACACCTCCAACTTTCCATTTGAGCCGAGCTTCTGCGGTATCCGGCCGGTGAAGTTGTTCTTGAACAGCCTGAGCTCGAAAAAGTCCCCCAAGTCTTGAATCCCCTCGGGGATGGCACCCGTGAGCTCGTTCTGCCAGAGATGCAGCAGCCTCAAGCTCTTTAGCTGCGTGATGCCCGAAGGAATGCTCCCGGTAAGCCTGTTGTTCGATATGTCGATGTCGGTGATGGATGTCAAGTTGAAGATGTTGGCTGGAATCTCCCCCTCGAGCTGGTTGTCGTAAAGCTCGAGCAACTTGAGCTTGTGGAGATTGAACAGCGACGCCGGTAAGCTGCCACTCAAGCCATTCCACGATAAGTCCAGTATCTCCTCCAGCTCCACGAGATTCCCAAGTGATTCCGGGATTTTTCCGACCAAGTTGATCTTGGTGAGAATGAGGTTCCTGAGCTTCGTCAATCTTCCCAGCTCCTCGGGAATAGGACCCTCGGCCATGGGGTTGTAAGCGAGATCCAACCTCTGCAAGTTGGAGAGCTGACCGAGAAATCCTGGCACGGTCCCGTTGAGCAGATTGTTGGTGAGATTGAGCTCCAGGAGACTGGGCAGCCTTCCAAATCCTGGCGGAATCTCTCCGGTGAAGTTGTTCCCGCAGAGGTCCAGGTTCTCGAGCTTGGTGAGCGCCGAGATGTTGTTTGGAAGAAGCCCCACGAAGAGATTCATGCTGAGGTTGAGTGACTTCAAGCTGGAGCACTGGAAGAGGTGCTGTGGAAAACCGCCGCCAATCTCATTGTTTCCAAGGTTGAGCGACTCTAAGCTCGGGAGCTCGCAAACCACCGGTGGAACCCCTTCTCCCGCGTCGATTTGCAAATCCGCCAGGTTGATCTCAGTGACGAGCCCGGATTTCGAGTCGCAGCTGATCCCCTCCCACTTGCATGGGCTCGAATCAGTGCTCTTCCAGCTCTGGAACAAATCCGGGAGCTCCCCCTGCGCCTGCTTCTCGAGATTTTGCTTGAACCGGATGAGAATGGCGACCTCCTGAGCAAATGCAGCGGGAGTGGAAATGTAGCTCACGGCAGCGAGCGCGAGCAGCAGCAGCTGGAATCGGCCAAATATCGGAGATTTCTCGCCCGGAAATCCCCCCATTCTCCTCGTTCTTGCGGATCTCGCAAGAACAGAGTGCCAACCAGACAAGTACCTGTGCGATCCTCCTCGTGCTAGCTGGAGCTAGCGCCCGATCGCTGATGATTCCATTGCTTGCTGGAAGAACCCTAAGAATCCGGGTAGCGATTGCTAGTGATATTTTGCCCTCTTCTTTGGACAGGACTCGTCTCAAACCAAGAGAAGGGGGGACTTTTCTCACCTCCTCCCGGTAAAAGGTGAAAAGGAATCCAGTTTATTACTTTTTACAAAGCATTGGTAGCTGGCTAGTGCCGTGCGTGTGTTGGGGTCTTGTGCAATTCTACGATATAACTTAGTGGATCACATTTTTATTTGGTGGAAGCCTCCATTTTTTCTAGAAGCCATCCATCCATGATTCTTAACGTGATCTACAAACACTAGAAGGAAAAGCTAAAGAAGTTGCCACGAAACAAGCGCTGGAGAAGATAATGGAAACAAAGGAGAACTATTTAGCCATCTCTTTTGACCAGATTAAACAAGCTTTATCGTGCCAGACAGCCGAGTTAGGCCGGTTTACGAGATTGATGGAACAACACAGTTGGATCCTTCCATTGTTTTCACATTTTCATCGATAAACTTGCAAGACTTTCAAAGCGCGTGCTTAAATCGATGGAGGGATTATAAAAACGACTAAAGCCTATAAGTGGAGGGATTATAGATTAGCGTAAAGCCTATAATTCCAAGCCAAGGTAGCCAACAAAAGTGGGGGGGTACTTTCACTGACCTTTACTAGTTGATGGCCCTGTCACTATAGCACCAAACCAATCCAACGCCTTTGGAAGGTCAAACAACACTAAAGGAGCGTCCAAAGAAGTTTGCCACTTTCTCTAGACAAAGCTGTGGCAGTGGCACATTCACAGCGCAATCTTAGACAAATCCCCGCAACACACCAAACAACGTAACTATGTATTGGGGTGGCCAAAATGATAGCGACGAGCACACTCCCTCCAATGGGCCCCAGTCAACGCCGTCCAGACTAGACTCGACCAGAAAAATCTTGACTTCGACTGGCGTCACGCCGCCCGGGGACTCGAACCCCCGACCATACGGTTAAGAGCGTTAACTCTGTGGCCTTTAGGAAACATTTAATTTGAACCTTGGCGCTCAAAATCGATGTCACATTTTCAGTGTGAGCCGTTGGATGTCGCAGCGGCTGGTGAAATTTCAGCCCTTGATTCGGTGGTGTGGACCGCAGATTTGGATTCGCGCTAGGGCGCGATTCTTGTATGACAGGGAAAGAGAGCAATGTGTTGCGCCCGGGCGGGCATTGCCTGGGCAAGCGTCGGGATTCCACAGCTCACTCGCGGATTGCGTGGTGATTCCCTGTCTTTGGCAATGCGACTAGGTTCGATCATCCTCTTCCCTCTTTAAAACTCCTCCGCTAGCACTTTCTTTGATTCTCTCTTGTCGATCACAGATGGAAATGTTGCTCCGACGCAGTTCAATTCTTTCTAAGAGATGCATTCCTGCTGTCTTGGCTCTACCCCGGAATCTATCCTCTCTTGTCACTGGTATAGTGATTTTCTAGCAAGATTTTCGATCATCCCTGTGCTATCGATTTCTCGCAGGTGATGCGGCGTTCTTGGAGGCGGTGGATATTTACTACGATAAAGCTGCGGCACTAGCGTCTCCAACTCCAGATATATTGGCTCAGATCAAGGTGACCTACTACTTTTAGTGGATTTCTCAAGACAACACTTTCTTTGCAGGGATGTAACAATATCTTAAAGGTCCAATTTCCTCTCAAGTGTTCCGATGGAACAGTGGAGCTTATCGAGGCTTATAGAGCTCAACATTCTCACCATCGAATGCCAGGTATGGCCTATTATTAGTTCTTCTTGATGAAGTCATACTCTCTAACTTTTCTTTCTATCTAGTCAAGGGTGGCATACGAATGGCTCCAAATGTTGATGCCGAAGAAACAATGGCGTTGGCTGCGTTGATGACTTTCAAGTGCGCTCTGGTGGACATCCCATTTGGAGGGGCGAAAGGAGGAATCAAAATAGGTGGGAATGATCTTTGTAATGCAGAATTATTTCTTTCTGAGTAGTATCATGTTGCCACAGGTAACTTGAAAGTTTCAATGCTTTCCTTCAGATCCTGCGAAGTATTCCACCGGGGAAAAGGAAGCGATCATAAGGCGATACACCAGTGAGCTTGTAAAGAAGAACTTCATTGGTCCTGCGATTGTAAGTGGATTTCCTTCTGCTCATCAAAGATCAAAACGTGGCATTACTCGGCTTCTCAGGACGTTCCTGCCCCTGATTATGGAACAGGATCCCAAGAAATGGCCTGGATCAAGGTATTTGTTGGTTATTATGCTGTGATTTTGTCAAAAAGGATTTTTTTCAGGACACTTACGAGCATCTCCAGTCAACTGACATAAATGGAACAGCTTGCGTAACTGGAAAGCCACTTGAAGAGGTACTATAGTGCACTCTAGTTGCTCATTCTGTTTACCATTTAACAGGGAGGTATTCATGGGAGGCAAGAAGCTACAGGCTTAGGAGTGTTTTTCTGTTTGAGAGAGTTTTTAGATGACGAGGTTGTTTTGCGTTTGTTTCAAAATCGAATTTACGACTCATTTCTTTTTATGCAGGGTCTGATATCCAAGCTGCAAATGAAACCTGGTATTGAAGGGAAAACTATCATCGTGCAAGGCTTTGGAAACGTCGGTCAACACACCATTGATGTAAGATGACCAGATTACGGTGGGAAGCAATTTCAAACTACTGTTTTTCAGTGCATTGAAGATGCTGGCGGAAGAATCATAGCCATCGCAGAGAAGGATGGTGGGGTTGTTGATGAGACAGGAAAGGGCTTGAACATCAAAGAGGTCAAGGATTACTTTAAGCGAAAGGGAACAATAACAGGATTTCCCAAGGGTTCCACTGTAAGTGGATTCATATTCTTTGTTCTTACGTTCTAATCCTGGTCGCACAGGTTGAAGACTCTTCAAAAATATTAGAGCTGCCGTGTGATGTTTTGATTCCAGCTGCGTTGGAGTCACAAATACATTCTGGCAACGCCTCTCTTATACAGGTACAAAAACGAAAGCAATGCTTCGAGAACTTTTAAACCTTTTTGTGAACAGGCCCGCATTATAGCAGAGGCTGCTAATGGCCCGGTAACTCCTGCGGCCGAAGCGATCCTAGAGAAAAGAGGAGTTGTTATTTTACCAGATTTGCTTCTGAATGCGGTATATTGTGTGGCTTCTTTGTTTATCGCTCACGCAAGTTTAGTGATGGTGCCTTTTCAGGGTGGAGTGACTGTGTCATATTTTGAATGGCTAAAGAATTTGAATCACATTCACTTTGGGCGCATGAGTCGTAGAATGGAAGAGCGTGGAAAACGGGTGGGCTGTATTATCTGATACCTTGAACTAACTTGTTTCTCACCATGAAGGTTTTTCTTGAGGCTCTCGAACTGGAGTTTGGAAATGGAAACAGATTATCTGACGAGCTTCGTCGCGAACTTGTTAAAGGGTTAGCTTCTGCCGGGGTTCAACTTTGCAGCATTTTTTCTGATAGCTGTTCTGCGAACTTTCCAGAAATACAGAGGTGGATTTCGTGTGGTCCGGACTTGAAGAGACCATGCTGGTTGCATGGGACAAAGTTAAGGCGGTCGCTGCTAAAAAGGTGACTTGTTTATTTTTCATGAGTTTGTTTCTCATGAGTTTGTTTCTCTGATTCAATATTTTGTTGCAGGGCTGCAATTTTCGCACAGCAGCATATTTGATAGCTATTGAGAGGATAGCGACATGCTACAAAGTCAGTGGGATATTTCCCTGATAGCAGCACTCAGAATTATAGAGTTCAGAACCTTTGTACATTGAGACATTTATACACATGGTAACGTTTGATCAAAGAGCCTGTCTCCCTTACTACGTTGAAATGCGTTTCGGTAAGTTTTTTCTTTAAAATCCCTTTGTAACTCCTCGCTTTGCAGTATAGTCTACCTAGTACATATCACGTATTGCTGGACAAGTGAAAACTTCTATTTCGACAACCGTGGCCTTCTTATCGTCACCGAAAATCGAATCCTTTCCATCAGGTCTGCATGCATACGAAAGTCCTAGTCTCGACTTTGCTTGGCTGAGATCGCCTTCACCTTTGTTTGGATCAGGTCCAGAAAGGCCACCCATAACAGGAACTAGTGGAGGCCCGATCAAAAGTCCATCAGCTCCAAACTGCGGCCCTCCTCGAGCATAGTCGAATATTGCAGCTCCCGAGCCTCCGACTTTGGGAAGAATAACAGGTGGTGAATCTCCTTGAGGGCAGTAGAACAGGAAGGCTTTGAAGGTGTCGTAGTAGTCATCAGTGCTCCGGAATCCGAGAGGATTAAATCCACCGAAACGAAGTCCGCCTCGAGTGACGCCTAGAACGACGCAGGGACCTTTGAAGTCAGTGCAGCCGTGGAACTTGTACGCACTGAAGCCGTCCAGAGATGCCTTGTAGCAGCACTTGAGCTCTTTATCTACACAAGAAGAGAGAATGTTTCAACGTCAAGTTCGAAAGCAACAGACCTGCAAGGAAGGTGTCTTGGACGAGCAGTGGCAGAAACGAAGGGAGCTCCAATTCGTGGTAGCCAGACTGTTTCGAAAATGAGATAGAATCCGTGGCCTCTTCTCTACCTCCGAAGAAGTTCCAGAGGCCACGAACAGGTCTGACTTTCCAAGTTCTTCGCTTCTTTCTAGTTGTATTGAAGCACAGCTTACCTGACAGGCGCAATGGACCGAGTAACGCGAGCTCCGCTCCCCTCATCCCTCTCTATCCGATCCGACGGCCAGAAGCTCTTCAATTCGAGGTAGTCAAAAGTGTAAGTAATCGGTTCATTAGAAGACTGGGTGTTTTATATATGTTTACACGTTCCAAAAAATCTTTCAGTCAGTTGTGTGTGTATGATCCCTCTGTGCGTGTATGTGTTTGTGTGTGTGTTCTTTCTTTCTTGTGTTGTTTGTGCTGTTCAGTAAAACCATATCGATCATGGCTGTCTGTGCGTTTGTGTGGTGTGTATGTGTTGGATTCGTTGTTCTCCTGTTCGAACTGTATAGTATAAGTAATGTATATGTATGTACCTGTGTGTTTTGTGTGTTGTTGTCTGGATGAAAAATCGCTGCTGCGAGTCGTGGTGGTAGCAGTAGCAGTCGAGTGATTTCACCCCAGGAACTGACGATCATCTGATGATAGGCCGGAGCTCCTGCGTGCCGTGCGCAAAGTGACACCGCTCTGCAAACGTGCACGTCCCGGACGAGTAGTTCTCGCACAGCTTGGTCTTGAAGTTGTGCGACCCCAGCGCTGGCCCCCGCGGCGGCGCCACCTCTCTCGTCTGGAGCAGCTGCCGCACCATCTCGCTCGCGCTCTCGATCTGCTCCAGCGACCCCTCCATCTCGACGTTCCTCATGTTGGGGTCGGTCTCGTGGTCGCGGATGGACACCTTGCAGCCCGTCACCTTGCTGATCTGCTTCACGTTGGCGCCGGCCTTGCCGATGATGGCCCCCGCGTATGCCGCCTCGATGCTCATCCGGGTGACCGAGATGCTGCCAAAGGTGGTGGCGGCGGGGACGCCGGGTGGCGTCGGCTCGCCGTAGTACACCGAGGTGGCCACCGGGTTGCTGGAGAAGACGGTGGTGCCGTTGATGAGCGCGGCGGCGCCCCCTATTCCGGCGGTGGCACCGTTCTGGAGGTGGATGACAGTGGCGGGCGAGGGGCGGGGATTGGAGGGGCGGAGGTCGGCCTCGCCATGCGCAAAGTGGCACTTCTCGCCAAACCGGCAGCCCTCTGGCGTGTTATAGCGGTTGCACAGGCGGGTCTTGTAGCCATTGACGGTCTGGGAGGGGTCGGGGACCACCGCCGCCGCCGCTGTTACTGCCGCTACTCCGCCGCCAGGAGTGGTGGATGCTGGGCTGGCGGCGGTCGATCCGGCTGTTCCTGGCGCGCCGCCCGGGGCGGCGGAGGAGAGCGCCGCGGTGCCGTTGGCTGCCTGGACCTGGAGGGAGTTGATGCCGCCGGGGACGTAGTGGAGGAAGTGGCAGCCTTCGCCGTACGGGCATCCAGAGGTACTGCACAAATGGAGGAAGAAATGCGTTGGATTCACGTTGGTTTTGTTCTTTCTGCAAGGGTGGTGCTTAGCAAAAGGAAGAAATCGCGAAGAGCAAAAGGAAAAAAAAAGGTGGTGAAGTTTGGAGGAGATCAGGAGATCTTAGCTCTAGGGTGAATTGACCTGAAGAATTTCGTACATGGTTTCGTCTTGCTCCCCAGTGCTGAGGTCTGCTGCGTCAAATCCCGGTCATCTGCAATTCCGTACACAGTTTTAGGGAATGCCAAGAGCCTCCGTTTGTGACAAGAATCACAGGAAGAACACTCAGAAAAACAAAGGAAAATGGAAGAGAAGAGAATTGGAAGAGAAACTGGTGGATAAAAATGCTGTAGAGAAGAAACTCAAAGAGATGGAAGAAATTAGAGAGAATTAGACAAGGGAGGAGAGAATGGAGAGAAATTCCAACCAAATGGCCCGTGCTTGAATCGGCATTTGCTGCCATAGGGGCATCCCTCTGGCGTTGTGTATCGCCGGCACTCGAAATCCCCGTTTTGCTGCTGGCATTGTTGCTGCTGCTGCTGCTGGACGGTCTGCGTGATCGGCGAAGTTTGCTGCTGCTGCGCGATCGACGATGGCTGCGGCGGGGATTGGTGGTGAATTTGGAAGGAGAGCGAGGAAAGATCCACATCCGAGCGCGCCTTCTTCTGGGCGGGCTCGAAAGAACCCATCCTTCCCTCCCCAGCCTCCCAATTGGCAAGATAGATGGCCGCAAAAAAAAGACCTAAAAAAACAAAACGGCCACTTCCACTGCCCGGGGACGGGGATTTTCGTTCCCCCTTCCCGGCCACATCGCTGCCGTCCATCTGGACCAGCCAATCGCAACCGCTGGATTAAATGTGTTCACTTTTTCAAAAATCTTTGTAGGGTTTGGCGCTCTCTCGTTTTAGGGCGAGATGAGATGAGCTTGGGCGGGGCGGGCGCGCCGGCTGTGATCTCCAGGTCTGTGTGCTGCTGTAGCGCCGATCTCTCTGCGCCGCGCCACTCGATGATCGCGAAGCTCGGGCAGAGGTTTAATGCGGCGGGGATTGGATCGGCTGCCCCCGTGCTGCTGCGCGACCGGAGCTTAATGCTGCCGCATGTTCATGTGCCGGATATCAGCTGGATTGACTGGAGGGCGCTCAAGGAGCGGGGATTTGCCGGTGTGGTGTTTGACAAGGATAATACGCTCACGGCCCCGTATGTGGCGACCGTGTGGCCGACGCTGGGCGAGTCCTTGGAAGAATGTCGGAAGTGCTTTGGGGAGAATGTGGCACTTCTCAGCAACAGCGCAGGTTAAGTGTCGAGCAAAGAGTTTTTTTTCTTAAATCTGATTTAGTTTTGTTAAAAAACTTCTTGCAGAGCAGGACTGTACCAGTTTGATCCCGCGGGAGTTGAGGCTGACGCACTAGAGGAGTCACTTGGAATTTCCGTGATCAGGCATGGTGAGCGTTTGGAAAACAAAACGAGTTTTCTTGGTTCACTTCCTAACGTTATTTTCCTAATGTAGGCTCTAAGAAACCGGCTGGAAATGCTGATGCTCTCAAGAAGAGATTTGGATGCGATGCGTCACTTCTCGTTATGGTAGGTACTCTTGCCTGTTATCCATTTCTTGTCCTTAGCTTTCTCTGTCACAGGTAGGAGATCGCCACCTTACCGACGTCGTGTATGGCAACAAGAATGGACTGCTCACGATTTCTACAGAGCCTCTCACGCTCAAAGGCGAGCCTTTCATCGTGACCAGAGTGAGTCATACATTCGTCGTGAGTTTAGGCAAATTATGTCTTTGCTACCTTAGGTCCGGAGGTTCGAAGATGCGATGCTGCGAAGATGGAAGTCCAGCGGATTGAAGCCGCCGCCTCACTCGCTGCACACTACGGAGTTTGACTTCATTAAAGATCCCGGTTGTTGGTAGAGGTATCATAGGAAAAGCTTTGATCATTCTCCATCACTTTGAAACAGTTTTTCTTACTTTTGAGCTATTTCAGCTAATGTAGCAACACCGCTGCTTTCAAGGGTTTGTTAGTGCAACTTGAAGAACAGTTTCTATCTTCAAGTTGCACTAACAAACCGTGCCACTTGTAGACCAAGAGGGTCCTCCGGTGTCATCCCTTCTGCGAGGTGGTACCTTGACACCATCGTTCATGTATGGATTCGAAATTCATGCACACTATGCCTGAATGCCACGCGAGTTCCCGGTATAAAAGACGTCCAGCTCTCTACTTCTCCTTCACTCAACTTCAGTCCATGGCAGCAGCAAGTGTTCACTCCGAGGTATGTGGGAGATGACGCAAGATGATTCCTTCTTAGTAGAGTTAGTATAGCTTGATTCTCCTTAGCCGAGACTGATCGTGGCTGCCTGCCTTTTGCATGCTTGGCAGACAGGAGTGGAAGCATGGGAGTACAGTCCGAGCATGCTGGACGAGGGGGATGATCCGAGGCTTCCACACAGACGCGTTCCAAATTGCCCAGTCCCACTCGCGCACCTCCATGGTACCCGCTTGTTCTGCTCTCTAGCTAGACTGTTTTTTGCTTAACGTGTAGCTCCAAATGCACTTGCAGAGCTTGGCGTCTTGACTTGGAAGCTCGACCTTGAAGCCACTTCTCTGCTGGAACAGATTCGAAGTGAACGCGGCTATCTCTACTCGGTGAGTGAGATTGGAGGGTTTTCGGATTGTGTTTAAAGTTGACAGGGAAACTTGCTTGTGGTCCAGGAGGTGCTCACTCTCTGTCGTGAAAGTACGGAGGATTTCGATGCTAAAGTCCAAGGCTTCTTCAAGGAACACACGCATTCACAGGAGGAAGTGAGGTTCATCTTGGATGGGAGTGGTACAGTTTTCTCAATTTCTTTTCTTTCTAGATTCAAATTCTACCTATTTTGTCTGCTTCTTCAGGTTATTGGGATATTCGAGACTTTGATGGCAAATGGATCCGGTTTGCTGTTGGCAAAGGGGATATGATCGTTCTTCCCGCGGGTATGTCTCACAGGTTCACGCTAGACGCGAAAAACTACATCAAGGCAAGTCAATCAGAGTCGAAATGTTCAAAGAACATAAAAAAGTCTTACGAATTTTTACGTTCTCTCTGTTTCCAGGCTTTACTACTTTACACCCAATATCCACATAGAACGCAGCATGACAAAGCGATCGTCCATAAACACAAGAACAATCTTGCGGACAATCCTGCTGCAAGGTAGAGTACTCGCTTTTCTTTTTCCTCGCCATTATAGCTGGATTCTTCCTCGCAGGGACGAGTGAGACTGAGAAAATAGGAGTCAAAAGCGCAATCTTTATCAATCACGATCTTTGGCCGCTTCCTCTCTCTGTCTGACTACGGATCAGACGACGTCAATCAAAACGCTAGAAGAAAAATGGTATATCATCAATTCGATCTCGGTCTCTTGTTCTCGGGCTCTTGCTGGTTTTGACTTTGGCCACTCTGGTGAATTTGGTGGTGCTGCTGCTGCGGCTGGAGTGGAAAATTGAGAAGAGCTCGCGCGCCCCTCATCTTAAACGCCGCTCGATCGTAGGCCCGAGCAGCCTGCTCGGCGGTATCAAACGTCCCCAGCCAGATCCGTGCGCCTTGCCGCATCGAGTCTCTAATCTCCGCCGCAAACTTCCCCCACGGCCTCTGCCTCACCCCGCGGTAGTGCTGCCTTTGTAAAGAAGCCGCCGGCATTGCCGCAGTACCGCGCGTCTCGGACTGTGTCAGCAGCGGTATCGCGCAATGTGCCGGCTGTGCTGCGTAGTGTACCGTGGGTGCCGCGCGGTTGGCAACGCACTGTGGTAGCTGTGCTGCGCGGTGTACTACCGCTACTGCCGGCGGCATGGGCGTCACGATCTCGGGCTTGGCGGCGTCGGCGAGCTCGGGCTCTTTCCTTTGCTTGGGCGTGAGCGGCTGCCATCCAGTCCGCGCGGCCTCCTTGAGCAGCCCGTAGAGAATCATGTCCTCGGAGTCGTTCTCGTTGAAATCCGAGAGGCCGCCGAGCACTGGGCTGGAAGCCATCGCCATGGCCGCGGCGATGGGGGCCGAGGTGGAGGAGCAAGAGGAAGTAGAAGGGGGCGGCGTGCTACACACTCTCTTGGAGATCCCCCAGGGGCTGTGGATGCTGCTGCTGCGATTGGAGGCAGCGGCGAAGGAGAGATCGAGCGGGAGGAGCGCAGGCCGCTTCTTCTTCCCGGGGAGGATATTGGTGGAATCGCTGGAAGAATCCGGGGAGAGGACCGCCGAGGATGGAGAAGAGGAAGGCGAGGAGGAAGAAATGTGTGTCATCAGCCGAAGAGCGCTCTTGTTGCCGCTGGCGGCCTCCTGGCTAAAGACGCCCCCAATCGCCTCGCGGAATCGATCCGAGCCGACACGATCGCGGAGCTTCTGCGCGATCCGGATGCTCTTCCTGCCCGAATCGCTGGAGATCCCGCCCGATCTGGCCGACCCAATGGGGGAATCCGCGAGCTGGGATGTGGGCGATGGCTGGATGTGCGAATCCTCGGCCTGATCGGCCTCGCCCAGCACCAGAGACGATGACACGAAGCTGTCCACTTCCAGGAGCGTCTTCTCGTCCTGATCCTCGCAATCGATCGCTACCTCCTCCGAGTAGAAACAGAGCGAGGGGCTTCCAAAAGGAACTAGCTCTTCCTGGTCCATGGAGTGGATCTCCTTTTCCTCTTGCAGCTAGCAGTCAAGCCCCACTATCAAATTCTATCTTCGCGTTGACACATTCGCTGCCGATTTCTCCAATTTCACTCTGGTCCTTCCTTCCACGCGACGGATCGATCGCACGAAGAGAAGAGAAGAAAATGGAAGAAACAAGGGGAAGATGCAAAGCAAGTGGACTCAAAGCCTGGGCAATGATCTTCTCCTCTTCTTTTTCCTCTCCACGGTCGTGATCGCAGCGCCATCATCGCGTGACGTGTCCTCATCCCGGGGCCGATGCCGCGCATATTCGCCACGCACACTCTCTCAGAAGCGCTACCAGAAGCTGCCGCGAAGCTCGGGATGCTTCCAGAGAACCTTCCTCGGCCCGGGAGCATATGCTTGCCTTGCTCACGCGACGTAGAAGAATATGCTCTGGTAGAGGAGGAAATTTCAAAGGTCGTATGTGTGGGCTCAATGCGAGACCTTTTACCATCTGCTAGCTTTTGTTTCGCAAGGCCACCATTTCCAGCGAAATTTCCTGTTTATCGAAACGTGCCAGGGTCCGTGGGGTCGATTTGGGTGGATGCTTCCTTGACTTGCACGTGATTCCACGAAACATCACTCCAAAAACCATTGGCACGATTTGGTCCATCGATTGATCGATCTCGGCCAAAAAGCCTACGAGCTAAAGCTCCTACAGCAACAAAAAGACATGATTTTCCCAATGGCATCCGCCAAAACAACAGCGATCATGGAGAAATCCACTACAAACTCAAGGGACATTGGGTTGGAGTTCCAATACCAACGTAAAGCTCCAAACTTTAGACACATATCAACAGATTTGTTTTAATATTTTCTTGGCCCGATCGAAACGGCAGGTCGCTTTTATGTTTCCTTGGCTTCTTTTTTTTTTTGTTCTTTCGTTTTTGGCAGAACGAGCTCCCTGCCACGTACAGTCTCCGCCGTGTCGTCTCGGCTTGCTCTTCACACAATCTGCCGTTTCTGGAGCCGATCAGCTGATGATACGTTTCGTTGCGTGTTTGTGATTCATCCCAGGTTTTCATAGTGCAAAAGCAAACTTGCGGACAGTTTCCTGGAAGTGACAATGCTAGGAAAAGTCTACCTTTCACATTGGTGGACTCCAATCCAAATCGCTTTACTTATGACTTCCACTCGCGAGCGGTCATTGATCCTCCCTTCAAGTTTAGGTTTTGGGTGTTATTCTGGGACACGAATGGAACTGTACCTTCTCAAGGACACAAATTAACAATTGCGCTAGACAAGGGTCGAACCTGTGACATTCTGCTCCGGAAACAGACGCTCTATCCACTGAGCTACTACTTACAGTTTTATTTTATATTGGAATATGCGGCATCGAATCAATTTATTGACCCGGGAATTAGGGTTCTTGAGGAAATGGTGGATCTGAGGCGATGGCGCCTCGAGGCGCTGCAGCAAATGCGGCTTGCGCTGCCGATGATGGGTGTTAATCTCATGCAGTTCGCCATCCAGATCACGTCCGTGATGCTCGTCGGCCATCTCGGCGAGCTCCAGCTCTCGAGCGCCTCCATCGCGACATCGCTGTGCACGGTCACCGGCTACAGTCTCTTGGTGAGTCCCTGACGCAAGATTTCGAGGCAGAATTGAGCAGTGAAGCATCCGGATCGTGGTCTCTTTGTAGCAAGGCCTTGCCACCGGCCTTGAGACCCTGTGCGGCCAGGCGTTTGGAGCCAAGCAATACCACAAGGTCGGCCTCTACTTGTATCGAGCAGTGCTGGTTCTTCTCGCCGTCGCGATTCCAGTGGCAGTGCTATGGCTCAACATGGAAAGTTTCCTCCTCGTCCTCCATCAGGCTCCAGACATATCGTCCAGCGCTGGAATCTACGCGCGATGGCTCGTCCCGGGGCTCTTCGCATTTGGCTTCCTCCAGCCACTCATCAAGTTTCTCCAAGCGCAGAGCTTCGTGCTTCCGATGTTCTTGTGCTCGTCGGTGACTTTGGCGGTCCACGTTTCGATCTGCTGGGTGCTCATATACAAGGTTGGTATGGGAAACGCTGGAGCAGCACTGGCGACGAGTGTTTCCAACTGGATCAACGTCTTCTTCCTCGCCGGAGTGGCGCTGCTCACTCCCCAGTGTCGCAAGTGTTTGCCAGAGTTATCCATGGAGGTTTTCGAGCATGTTTTCGACTTTTTGAAGTTGGCAGTGCCTTCTACGCTCATGTTCTGGTAAGTATTTTCTTGTTTCTTTTATTCGTTTAACTCTGCATTGTTCCCAGCTTGGAGTGGTGGTCGTTTGAGTCCCTCGTTTTGCTCTCAGGCGTTCTTCCCAATCCCAAGCTTGAGACGTCCGTGTTCTCCATCATGTCAGTAAAAATCTTTTCCTTCCTGTAAGCTCACTTTCCTTTTCCAGGCTAAACATCATCAACTTCTGCTACATGGTTCCTTATGGTATCAGTGCAGCAGCAAGGTATTCAGCGATTTGCTCAGTTACTCTCTTTGGCAAACTTTCGATCTCTGCAGTACTCGCATTTCCAACGAGCTCGGTGCCGGGCATCCATTTGAAGCTCGGCTCTCGCAGGGCGTTTCTTTCGGCCTGGCTGCCATTGACGCAGTGTTTGTGTCAACCCTCCTGTTTTGCCTCCGTGACGTTCTTGGCCGGGCTTTCAGCAATGAGGCAGAAGTGGTCGGCCATGTTTCGCGAATGATTCCAATTCTTGCTGCAATGACCGTCATGGATGCATTTGCCGGAGTTGTATCGGGTAACTCGAACTTTTTTTTTGTTTTGTTCTATGTTTCTAGCTAAACAATTGTTTTGCAAGGTTCTGCTAGAGGGTGTGGTTGGCAGATGCTTGCAACAATTGCAAACTTGGGAGCCTTTTACGTTGTTGGTTTGCCTGTAGGATGTATCCTAGCATTTGTCGTTGGTCTCGGTGGCAAGGTAACTCAATCTTTGGCCTTGGGATTGATGCCTGTTGCATTACACAGGGACTTTTGATTGGAGTTCTCTCGGGAGTGTCAACGCAAGCTGCAGTTCTGTCTGTAATAGCCCTCTCCACAAACTGGGCAAAGCAGGTGGACACTCTCACAAGTGGTTTGCTTACCAAATGTGATTATACAGGCACAAGCAGCGATGATTCGTGTGGACTCCGAGACAATCCCACTCCTTTGCTAAGTTTCTAGCTTTGTCTTTTGGCCATTTTGAAAAGTCGTCTTTGATAGCTTTGCCTTTGAGTTTGTCGCTTTGGCGCTGGTACTGTCGCTGCTGCCAGCTCTTCCACCACTGCCGCTCCTCCCTGGCTGCCGCTGTTTCCGGCTTCTGCATTCCTTGCCATGACCTGCGCACAAACTATAAGTGCATCACGAGCAGGGATGAACTTGGAAAGAATCTCAAGTCTCTTGAAATGGATCCCACCATCCTTTCTTGATGCAGTCAAGGCGTTTGGTGTCAAAGCGACTGTCCTGGTTAGCAGTTTCGCCTTTTTGTCTCTCTCTCTCTTGAGCTTTCGTTCTTTCTTTACGACTTGCATTGCAAGCATTCGTCACCGCACGCGTTACATTTTGACATGACACTCCTGCGTAGATTTTGAAACTTCTCGGGATTATGCGTTTGTCCAGGTTTGCAACAAAGGATCTTTACCTTTTTACAGACTCTCAAGGTTGTCAGGGCGACAGGCCTCAAGAAGAAAGAGCTCAAGTATGGAAGTCTGCCCATACTTGAGGCTGGTCCTCGGTGAAGGACCGTTTGCCAAATCCAGAATGGAACGAAACCTGTCATGTTCTGGATCCAGAATCTCTTACAGGTACGTGGTTCTACTACAAGCATTTCAACGAACTTAAATGGGCTTCCACGCGTTACGCTGAAACCCCTTGTTGCTATGCTTTTGCAAGATCATGGTGTCTCTAATGGAAAAGGTTTGTTTAAGTTCTTTTAACATAGCCTACCATTTTGGTTTGAAACTTCTCGGTGGCGATTTAATGGCAATTCCAGGGCTTATGGATCTTTGTACTGACAAAGCTGACTTCGCAGGACCTGATCATGGCCCAGAACAATGGAACCAACGTCCTAGACGAGAGGTAAGACTTAACTCGTGGAAGTCATACGTATACTCATGAATGCCTCTCAGCGCCTGTTGGAATGCTGGAAGTGAAGGCTGTCAGGGCGACTGGCCTCAGGAAAAAAGACTGGCTCATATGCACAACAGCAAACTTAAATTGGCTTGCAGATTAACAAGACAATTGAAGCCTCGTGACTCACACAGCGTCGAAAAAGCTCCCGAAGGATGTGGTTTGCCTGTCCATGGTGTCGAAGATTTGGAAAGCAAGCATCACCGACAACCGTACGCGAGGCTCGCATTTAGCAAAGGAAACCAAGGTAAGTAGTCCCGTTGATTTAATGTTTTATCTTTCTCTGGTTTGTTCGCGCGTTTCAGGCTATAAAGAAGATCCTGGATGGGATCAAGAGTTCCAGTACCTTGTAGCGGAGCCACCAGTGGGCGAGTGGAAAGCAATGGGAAATGGATACCACCTCCTTGTCGCGGAGCCCAACTTGAAGCATGAGACTGACGGATGGAGTGTTCATTTTCATGGTCGTTTTCTTCTTGACAAACTGTCCTTCACGAATGACCAGCCTCGCGTATGGGTCAGACTTCCCCACGAGGTCCAACCTTGACTTTCTGCATTTCAACAGCCCTCTGAGAGGAGTACATGTATGACTTAAGTCTGTCTTCGAGTAGTCTATGACGTTAATTTCCGGGCCACAAGTACATTTCTTATTCCTTGATCAGGTGACCTGTGTCAGTCAGTGCAAAGGTGAAAGTTTTTCCATGTAAACCTGGACAAACGCACAAGGCATTAAGTCGCCACCGAGAAGTTTCAAACCAAAATCTAAAGCAAACCTTTTCCATTAAAGAGACTATGATCTAGAATGCGCCAACAACGGGCTCCAACGACGTGTGTGGTGGCAAATACTTGCAAGTCTACAACCTGAAGAAAAAACTAAGAAAACAGACGCTCGACGAGGAGAAAGAAAAAGTGCCGTAACTACCAACCTGGACAGCCGCTCTGAGACCAAACGCCTTGGTAGCAGCAAGAATATTTCTGGATAGTCATCTCCTTTGATTCCTGCGAGAAGAAGTTGTACAAGAACAACGAAAAAACGTTACCTACAAACGTCGGCGACAGCGCGCAATGTCAAGGCCTCGAACTGTAGCGAATGATCACGAATGATTTCCAAGTCAGGCACTCCACCTGGCATAGGAAAATGCGACCCAAGCGCAGAAAGATTGGGATTTGTAGCCCAGAGAGGAATCTCGATCCTCCGAAGCTAGAATTAACCCTAATCATAATGGCTTCAAGCGGTGAGATAGCGAGGCGCTATGGAAGATTTGAGGTGGATGACGATTTTCGTGATGCTCGAGCAGCGCTAGGGCGGCTATTCGTCCGGAATGGCTCGCTCTCTTCTGTTACAACCATCGCTACCGTGGTTATGGTAGCACCAAGGTGAAAGATTTGTGTTTTGGTGTTGGAAGTTTCTCCTTTCTCGCTCTCGCTCTCGCTCTCGATGCAGTCACGGTGTTGTGTCACTTGCTCCGCTCGAAGGCTACGACCTCCGTCGCTTGCAATGGCTGGTTCACTATCCCACTCAAAGGGAGATAAGGGAGGCGAGTTTCATCGACGTGGACCGTGCGTGCGAGGTAGCAATGCTCGAGATCGAGAAGAACTACACGGAGTTTCCTCTGGAGATACCCTTTCTACGGAGTAGCGGGGAGCTCTTACGCCTGGGGTCTCGTGTCCATTTCCTGGGCTATGTTGAGGGGGTGGACAGGGAGTATGATGCATGCAGAGGAGGAGGCTCGAAGAAGGCGGAGACTGAAAAGATCCCGGCTTTCCATGATGTTCTCACGGTGGGAACTACACTCCCTGCAGGGTTTTGTGTAGGTAAGAGTAGTTTTGGCTGTAATTGATAGTTCCTATCATTAACTGTTTCTTTCTAGCTTCTTATTGTGGAGACAATCGCGGAGGCGTCATTTTCACCATCGATCCCCTCATGAAGCCCACGCTTCAGCTGATCGGGTTTCATATCAACAACATTGGGATGTTATGTAAATTCATCCCCGAGCACCTTGCGTTCAATGGAGGAGGAGGTGGTGGCAGCGGTGGAAGAGGAGGTGGTGGCGGCGGCGACCGCGGACGCGGTGGCCATAGGGGAGGCAAAGGTAGAGCTGTGCCGCTGCCGCGAGCGCTGCCGCGCGGAGGTGGTGGCAGCGGTGGCAGCGGACGGGGTGGCCGTAGGGGTAGAGCTGTGCCGCTGCCGCAAGCGCTTCCGCGTGGAGGTGGTGGCAGCGGAGGTGGAGACCAAGGAAGCGGCAGTGGAGGCAACAAAGCCAAAGGCAAAGAAAAAGTGGTGTGAAAACTGTGCGAAGGGAAACCATTGCGACTATGCCAAGTCTTGTGAAAAGAGCCAAGGCCTAATCCTATAGCTAAAGTATTCCCGCAAACTCCCTCGCTCTTGCTGCACATTGAGCCGCTTCTCGATATCCACCCTCGGCAGGCCATCACAGACTCGCAAGTTTTCAAGAAATCTACAAGTTTGCCACGGAGAATTTGAAAAACAGAGAAAAATACGCTTATGCGTGCCTGCGCCAATGGATGACGTTTTGCTCGTTGGAGCTTGAAGGCTCAAACTCTGTCAAGAAAACAAAACAAAAACTTAAAGAGTTCAATCCACTGATCTTCTTACCTTTTAGAGGATGAGCTTTCGTCCAATCGTACCAAACAGTCGTCAAACCATCAATGTCCAAACACGCGACATAAACGACAGCCTTGCGGTGCACGAATCCAGCCTCGAGAGCTACAGTTAGACAGTTTCAGTTAGACAGTTTCAATCGCCAAGCATCCAAACCTTTCCCAAAGTCGGGATCCTCCTTGACTCGGTTTTGGAACTGGTCGCGGATGGCAGTCTCGTCGAGCCTCCTCTCTCCATTCTTCTTCTTCTTCTTCGTCGGTCGAGTATCACGAGCCGGGATCTCCTCGAATTCCACCACCACTCCGCCAAGATGTCCTGCATCGTCAAGGACAGGAGCACCAACCTCCACCGTGCTCTCCACCGGAAGCATCACCATGTGGTAAGGCTCGAACTGATAAATTGGAAGGCTTGGATCCTCGATGAAGATGCCCGCCACGCACTTGACGTCCCCGGACTGTGGGTCGCGCTTCCAGCTGTAGGCATGATCCGACTTGCAAATCGAGTCATTCCAGTTGATGCAATAGTCGAAGCTGACAGGTTTGGCCGGCGTCAGGATGGCGATCTCGACCTCTTCCTCGTAAGTCACCACGCACTCGTACTCCAGTGGTGGATCCGAGAACACCAGCACGTACTTGCCAGAGGTGGAGCTACGGTTGCAGCACACGGCGGCGGTGAAGCAAGAGCCATCGGGCTTCACCAAGGCGGCCAGGCCCTTGTAGTTGTCATCGCTCGGCTCGTCGTCACCCTCCACAAAGTGCAAGCGAGCCACCATCTTGGAGACCCGGGACTGCATCACGTTGCAAACTTGCTCTGGTTTCGTGACGGTGAGCTCCAGCTCCTTGACATACGACCACAGGCCCTCGACGTTGCTCCGGTACGCCTCCAACTGCCTCGACCTCGCAACCTCGGCTCTTTGCTTCTTGGCCACGAGATTCTCCTCGTCGCGCTGCCGGATGTGATCCTGGACGGCGGGGTGATCAGCAGAGCGGCGTCGGCCCGTGATGACGAGCGCTTGCTCGTGGCTGCTACCGTCACCCAGGTCGGGCTGGTCCTGGAGCAACGCGGCAATGGCGTCAAGGGAGAGCACCGAGTTGCCGTCGGCACCTGGGACTAGAGCGCAGTTGCCAATGCGGAGGGAGTCCGGGTCCAGGCCCCAGTGACGAGCGATGGAGCTTACCATGAGTTTGGAGCCTATGAGTGGGAAGCGCAGCGCCTCGTCACCCCGCTTCACCCACACCACCGCCATAGCTCCGCTTGACCTAATACGGAATACGTCGAAAAAAGCTTCACACAATAGTTCGGTGCGTTTCGACTCGAGGTGCTCTCTTCCCAATTCTTCAAGATCGTGAAGATGCTTTTCAGATGCTATCAGTTATAAGTTTTTACACAACAATGGTCTGGGTGATGCTCCTCTACATCTACGTGCTCTACTCCCCGGACTGCAGCACAATGCCGAACTTCCTCTTCATCTATGGTACCCTTCCGGCCCCAGTCGTCCGACCGGAGTGGGGGGTGCCCACTCGTCGCACGGCATGCCGCTCGAAGGCGTGTTTGCGATTCTCAGTTTCGCTTCGTCCTCTGTTTGGATTCGAGCTCCACCATTTGTTCCAGACGCTGCTCCAGACGCTGCTGTACCTCCCTCGGATGTACAAGTACTAACCACTCCCGCTCGCTGGTGCATCATCACAACTGATCACTGGTGGCAGCGTTTTGCCTGCCTTTTGCTGAAACTTTTGCGGCAGGCAGGGTCAGTGCTCTCCCGGTGAATCCTCAGTTGCACGCTGGTGGAGGCGTTGAGGGCGGCGCTCTTGTCGCCAAGTACTGACAAGAGGCTGTGTGAGCACACGGGATGTGCGGTGGCTTCCAATCTCCCGCAAGAGGGCGGCCCTGTTAAGCGGCGCTGGCGAGCTTCCCCTGGAACAAGTGCCGCCTCCTTCCCCGCGTGCCGTGCAGCATCGCCAGGGATCTCGGCATCGGCTGGGCGATCCATGCTCGCGTCCGTCACACCACAGCGTGGTTCAATCCTCGCCTTCAATGCGGTTGTAGTGAGAAAGAGCGTGTTCAAAGATACAAGAGGAGTGGAGTTTTTATAATCGATGTGATGTGGCAGCTTATCGCTCCCCGCCGGATCGCTTGATTGATGCTCGAGATCATCCCTTACGTGCCAGATGCGTCGGAGTTGCAAGAGCCATAGAAACTTCACCTTGGGACAAACTTGTAAATATTTGCTTCCTCTTCCTTCTCCCCGAAATCTTTGCAAAACAAGCAAGCATGAATATCCCAAAAACGATTCTTTGCAAGAAGATGCCGAATATTCCTTTTCGGCGGGAACAAAAACTTCCACTTCCCCAAACTTTGAATTCAGCTCCAAAACACTCCTATCTTATACTAGTGAAAGATTTTACGTAGCCTGAATGGAGGTCTTCCTCGTTGATAGATCTCCAAAAACGTTGACAGTGCTACACCTCTTACTTCAAGGTTCATCAATGTCAAATTCTGTGTCAGATAAAAACCACAACTTTCGGAGTCAAATTCACGTATTCCAGAATGAATCTTACCTTCGATGGGATGAGTTGTCATCCAATCCTTCCAAAGAGTCGTTAGACCAGTCTCGACACACGCCACATAAACGGCTGCTTTCCGGTGCTCAAGGGCAGCACCCAGCGCTGAGGACATCAAACAGTTACAGTTAAGTTAAAAAGGGAGGCCGGAAACCAAACCTTTCGCGAAGTCAGGATCCCTGCTGACCACCTTGTTGCAGAAGTCACGGATGCTAATCATATCGAACTTCCTCTGCTCATTGTTCTTCTTGGACCGAGTACCGCGAGCCGGGATCTCCTCGAATTCCACCACAATTCCGCCAAGATTTCCCCGGCTATCAAGTACTGGAGCACCAACCTCCACCATCTCGAACGGAAGCATCACCATGCGGTAAGGCTCGCACTCCCCACTGCTAAGGCTTCGATCCTCAAGGAAGATCCCCGACACGCACTTGATGTCCCCGGACTCTGGGTCGCGCTTCCAGCTATAGGGACTACCCGACTTGCAGATCCAGCCATCCCAGTTGATGCAATAGTTGAAGCTGACGCCAGGTTCGATCGGCGTCAGGACAGCGATCGGATCCTTGAAAGACACCATGCACTCGTACTCCAGTGCTGGATCCGAGAACACCAGGATGTGCCTGCCAGAGGTGGAGCTACAGTCGCAGCAAGCGGCGGCGGTGAAGCAAGATCCATCGGGTTTCACCAAGGCGGCCAGGCCCTTGTAGTTGTCGTCGCTCGGCTCGTCATCGCCCTCCACAAAGTGCAAGCGAGCCACCATCTTGGAGACCCTGGACTGCAGCAGTTCGCGAGCTTGCTCTGGCCTCAAGCGCCTAAACGGGCCCCCGCCCTCGAGCTCCTTGACGTACGACCAGAAGTTTTCGACACTGCTGTGGAATGCCTTGAGCTGCCTCGACTCTGCGGTCTCTCTCCTTTGCTTCTTCCTTGCCACCAGATCCTCCTCGTCTCGCTGCCGGATGAGCTCCTGGACGGCGGGGTGATCGCAAGCCGAGCACGCATTCCTGGTTGCAGAGCAGCGGCGGCCAGTGACGAGGAGTGCTTGGTCGTAGCTGCTACCATCGCCCAATTCGGGGAGCAAGGCTACCATGGCGTCAAGAGAGAGCACCGAGTTGCCGTCAGCGTCTGGGACTAGAGCGCAGTCGCCGATGCGGAGGGAGTCCGGGTCCAGGCCCCAGTGGCGAGCGATGGAGCTTACCATCATCTTGGCGCCGTCCTGGAGTGGGAAGCACAGCGCCTCGTCCCCCCGCTTCACCCACACCACCGCCATAGCTCCGCTTTGACCTAATACGGTACATAAAATTAAAGTTTTTTAACAAAATCTGCCGTTAATCAGTTTGGCGAGTTGTTCGATCAAGGCCAAACTTACACATTGCTTTCCACTCGCAAGCGGTCCTGATCCCATCCAGGATCTTCTTTATAGCCTGACGAATAAAACAGAGAAAGATAAAACACCAAACCAACGGGACACTACTTACCTTGGTTTCCTTTGCTAAATGCGAGGTTCGTGTGATGCTTGCTTTCCAAGTCTCGACACCATGGACAGGCAAACCATATCCTTCGGGAGCTTTATAAGCTTCGATTGAAGCGTCTTGATCCTCCTTGGACGCTTTGTGGGTCACGAGGCTTCGATCATTGGGCAATCAGTCTTGTTAATCTGCAAGCCAACTTAAGTTCGCTACATAGAACCACGTACCTTTTCAAACATAACAGCCTGTGAAAGGTTTCGTTCTTCTTGTTCATTTTCGCGGTCGTTTTCTTCTTGGCAAACACGGACCGGGTCAGTCATTTTTCTTGACGCCAGTCGCCCTGACAAGCTTCACTTGCAGCATTCCAACACCGCGCTGAGAGGCATTCATGAGTATGCGTATGACTTCCACGAGTTAAGTCTTACCTCGGATTGTCTATGACGTTGATGTCCATTGTTCTGGGCCACAAGTACAGCTGTGCCAGTACAAAGGGCCATACAAACCTGGACAAACGCATAAAGCCCTGGAATTGCCATTAAGTCGCCAGAAGTTTCAAACCAAAATCCACATGAATGGTAGGCTATGTCAAAAGAGGAAGCAAACCTTTTCCATTGGAGACACCATGATCTTGCAAAAGCATGGAAATTAAGTTCGTCAGAATGCTTGTAGTAGAACCGCGTACCTTTTTCCAGTCAGAACATGAAAGGTTTCGTTCCATTCTGGATTGAGAGTGTTCAATTTCACGGTCGTTTTCTTCTTGGCCAGACAAGACTTCCCCATGAGGTCTTTCTTCTTGAGGCCCATCGCCCTGACAACCTTGACTTCCAGCATTCCAACAGGCTTCTTTACCGCTCTGAGAGGTATTTATATGTCTTGCACGAGTTATGTCTTATGACGTTGATTTCTGGGCCACAAGTACATTTGTGAAACTTTATCCTTGATCAGGTTGTGCGAAATCCTTGTCAGTAAAAACGTAAAGATCTTTTGTTGCAAACCTGGACAAACGCATAATCCCATTTAAGTCGCCATCCACCGAGAAGTTTCGTGAGGATGGCAGGATGCTTGCAATGCAAGTCTACAACATAAAGAGAGAATGATGGAGAGATAAACAAAAAGGCGAAACTACTAACCTGGACAGTCGCTCCGCGACCAAACGCCTTGACAGCAACAAGAACTCTTTGGCACATTTCGGAGACAGCTCGCGTCTCCTTCTCTTGAATATCACATCCTTGATGCCTGTCAAAAAAAGTCGTCAAAAACAGAGTACAAGAACAAAGATAAAAACATTAGCTACACAGTGTCAAGGCCTTCGCCGCGGATTCATCGATACATGGTTTGAATGAAGTCTGCATTTGCAAGTAAGGCATAGAAAAATGCGACCATGATCCCAGGAAAGGAATCACGGAAAGATTGGGACTTGAGGAAATCTCTGGCACAGCGACTTCATATGAAGCTCCTGCAAGGGTCGGATTGTGCCAAGCGATCAGCGCATGAGAATACTCTAGCTACATTCCTGGCGAGAATCCCTACCTTGACATCCACGGGCGTGAAATGGAAGTAGGCGATCCCGACAACACCCAGCACGGTGCTGATCAGCCCCATCGCCGCGCGCAATCCCCTCTCCATAAAAAACCATTTCTTCTTCTATAAACCCTTAAACCCTAGCAACGGCCTTCAGCAAGCAACGATGGCTTTGGAAGTCGCGGAGGTGGGCTTTGGAGCTGCGCGAGAAGTGCTCGGGCGCTTGTACGTCGACGACAGCTCCGGCGACAGCTCCGGCGACAGCTCCGACAACAGCTCCGTCTCGCTCTCGTCTGTCAATACCATAGCCACCGTGGTTATGGTCTGGAAAAGGTGAAAGCTTTGTGCCTTTGTGCTAGAAAACTCTCTCCTCTTGTCGCTCTCGATGCAGCCACGGCATTGTGTCCCTCGCGCCGCTCAAAAACTACGACCTTGGTGGCCTGGACTGGCTGGTTCTCTTCCCCACTCGGGGCGAGAAGAGGGCCGCGTCTTTCATGGCCGTGGACCATGAGCGCGACATAGCGATGCTCAAAATCGAGGGCGGGGCGTTACCTTTTCTCCGTTCAAGCAAGGAGCGCCTGTCACTAGGCCGCCAGCTTCATTTTCTTGGCTACGTTGAAGACGTGGACAAGGCTTCTTACAAAAAAGGGGATGGCAAAGACGAAACCAACCAGATCCCATCTTTCCAGGATCAAGTGACGGTGGCAACT